AGTCTCACCTCTTCAAGTGTTTACTGTCAGCTACCATTTTGGCATACTGACAACATGATCTCATAAGGAATAAGTGAAAACCCAGATTATTTTATGGGATACAATCATCCTTTCTAATCTAATCTCAAGGGGTTGCTATAAGCAACAGTTGCAAAGTACTTCTTTAAAAATGAAGCTTTAAAACACTTTTTATTGTATGATAACAATATAAGAATGTCACAATCTTTCTGCATGTTGAAGTTAGTTAAAAGCAGAGAGGACTGAAGTCTTTCATAGAGCAGCTTTAAAAAGTAACATACAACCGGATTCAATATTCAGAAATGTCTGTGGATGGAGTAATAGGATTACATCTATGAACTCCTGGTTCCTGACAAAACTGTAAGAGTTAAGAAAAAAGGCCTAGGACTCTTCATGTATAGTTCAATGGAAAACATAGTGCAAAGTGTACAGGCAGTTAAAGAAAGCAAGAGAGTATTAGGTTGCAAAAGGCAAGTGAAAGAAAACTAAAATTCCATTAATATAAAGTGATGGTTCACTATCATCTGGAACATTGTATTAAACTCTGGTCATTGCAGGTCAAAAAAATTTAGAAAACAAAGACTTCAGAGAAAAAGGAGGAGATTAATTACGACATGGAAGGTTTTGGCATCCAAAAGATTGAATGGATTTGGAACAGTCAGTTTAGAGAAGAGATGAATGAGGGTGGCATGCAAAATAGAAGGTGGCAGGACAAATTATGAACCTGAATGCATTTTCCCTCCCTCTACAAAGACAAAGGAAAATTGATGAAATTTTAAAAGACTGTATTTTAAACTGGAAGATTTTGAGTGCAACCCCCTCCTCCAAAATTTATTAGCTTAAAATAACATGAAGATTAAGAACATAGTAGTGTTTAAAGCAGATTGGATGTTTCAAAGAAAACCTTTTTTTCCTGCAAGCTATGCTCATTTTCAAGTTTCAGAAAAAGAACCCCAACACACATTGGGAGCAGGGAAAATATTTGTCCTATTGGTGTTTTACTTCTGAAGTTGTACATTGCTGTTTCCAAAACAATCTTGAGGGATAACTGATGTGGTCCACTGGCCAGGGTGGAGTGCTAGTTTGATCCAGTCTCGTTGACTTCCCTCAATTCATTATCGGTAAAACCTTTTTTACTCCGTAAACCACTCATTCTCCAACCTCTTCTCTCTCTCTCTTTCTCTTCGATGCTAAGACGGTAAATATACCTGCCACCCATGACAATCATAAAAGAACTATCACTAATTATTTTCCTCACATTAAAGCAACCAGTATAGTGTAAAGCTTTCCCCATACAACCATTAAAATATACTTGTCAAAATTTCAACTCCTCTTCAACCTATTGACAAGGAAACAGCAAAGATCATGTGATTCTCATCAAATACTCACAAGATCCTCTACCCTAATTCTTCCACTCAGTTTATTCCTCAGTTTCAGAGCCTTTCATGTGCCCTATTTTATTTCTTTCTTTTCCTGTACATTTCTCTCCTTATCTTCCACCCAGCTGGAAAATTTTGTTCTCACTCTATGTTAAATGCAGCCTACCACTGGCTTAAATCATATCTCAATCCTTCTGTCTACTTTACTCAAAGCTAAGTCAATCATTAAAGTCCAGTTTTCTCATCACACTGGCATTCACTGGTATGTATCCGTTTAACATAAAATAATTACTGAAGTTTGGCTTTCTAATGATCTATTTCTTCCTGTACCAGATTTTGAATAGATGTATGTTCATATGTCTTATGGCATGAATGATGTTATTTAACTGTGCAAAATACTGTGATCTGCTTTTTATTTAGCCAGCACTTACAAACTAGATACAATACAGATAGATATCAGATAGTTTACACTGTATCACTATAAACAATATACACTGTAGCACAGTATATATACTATACATATTTATATGAGAACACACACACATATTTATTTATATTAATATATTATGGATCTCAGAACGTGCAAGGGTCTTATTCTGGGATTTGAACACTGCCCAGTCTAGCAGGAAACATTCAGCCTCGGTTTGCAATCAGTTAATGCTTAGCTAAATGCTGGAGGTATTGTTATATGGTTGCTTTCACTCTCCAGGCCAATAAACTGCTGAAGATCATACCAGTCCGTGCTTAAAACTCAACAGCATTTCTTACATAGAAAGTACAGTGAACAGATTCGTGGAAAACACCTTTCCATTCGGTAAATTCCCATTTGCTTTTACCTTATACTCATTTCTTTTAACAGTGAATTCAGAATCAACTATTAACTTCCACAGCCTTCTTTGGGAGTAATGACCCTTAAAATTAAGATCCAGGAACCCCCTTACAATCTCTAGTACTGAATTTCTCAAGGGAGTACAGATGATAACAGCATGTACCTCCACTAAACTACGTAGGTCTAGAAGATAGTGATGCAAAAGTCAGTCTTCCAGTGTGTAATCACCATTCAGTGGTTAGCTCCAGTGGTTAGCACTGGTTAGCAGCAGAAATATAGTGGGGAATGTTTGACACATACTCCTTACCTCTTTCTTCTAATGTTTTTCCCTCTTCTCTATGCACACAGATGTACATATGCAAGTAAAAAAGCCAGTATACAACTAGTTAAACAATGAAAACAGACTGTGCAGCCTTCCCAGGTACTGTGTATGGATTTTCTGAAGTAGTTCCTTTATTTGCAAGCAGAGTGTTTTTTTCTGAGAGGGGTGAAAGGTAGAAGAAGTGTTTGTATTATATAGCTGAATGACTGAATTGGGTCAGGTAGGGTCACCCAGGTCAGTCTTAACAGCAGCAGTAATGAACTGACAGACATGATTATTATTCACATCCTAAGAAGAAACCACAGTACTTCCAATTCTGTGAAGTTCAAAAACATAGGTCAGATATCAACAAGCCATGAGATTACCGTAAAATTGTAAAAATCTACTGTATCTTTTAAAATCGCATTGTGGAGGCCTGTTTTTAAACTTTCAAGAAGATCTTATGTACAACAGATAGAAAGATGTATGTTCAGGAGACCTCTTCCCTTTCACTTCAGGCATCTGTTCCCCTCACCTCCCTTATCCGAAATCCTTAACATTGTCTTCTATCATCAAGGTGCTCACAAGGTTTTTATTCTGAACACTCTCTCACTCATTTACTTCTAGCAAGACCCTCCTTACCAGGCTGAAGGCACAGCTATTTTCCCATTATTTCCCTAAAAGGAATTCCCAGTTTCCCTTCCAAAACACTGCCTCTGCTGTCCCCAGCATAAAAAGATGCTAATGTGGCTGAGTCCCTGCCTGTCTTGTCAGCAAGCTCACCTTTTGCTTTTGTTCCTCCTTGCACAGAAGACAACGCAGCAGCAACTTTCCTCTTGTGCCCATACAACCTCTCAGCCACATCGCTCTTGAAGCCTACAAGCCCCACAGCACCTTTGCTATGACTCTGATCTTTGGTCAGGACATGGCTGTACTTTTTGTAAATGCTTCTGCTGTATATGACATGTCACACAACCTTATCAGCATGCATGCTCTTCTATCCACAAGTACCTGGTATTAACATGACGACTGTACCACAGATACCATTCAATCACCTTACTTTTGCCTTCTCAGACTACCCTCTGAGGATACCACTTTAGCAGAATACTTATTATGGGTGGTATAAGGTGCTGATCTTTCATGTAAAGATATGTTTCTCTAATAGGGAGTCTGATCAATAAAGTGACTGAAGGTGAGTGTCATGGTTTACCCCCAGTAGGCAGCTCAGCCCCACACAGCCGCTCGCTCCCTCCCCTCCCGGTGGGATGCAGGAGAGAATCGGAAGGGTAAAAGTGAGAAAACTCATGGGTTGAGATGAAGACAGTTTAATAGGTCAAACAAAAGCCGCGCACACAAGCAAAGCAAAACAAGGAATTAATTCAGTCCTTCCCATCGGCAGGCAGGTGTTTAGAGCCATCTCCAGGAAAGCAGGGCTCCATCACGCATAACGGTTACTTGGGAAGACAAACACCATAACTCTGAACATCCCCTCCTTCCTCCTTCTTCCCCCAGCTTTATATGCTGAGCATGACGTCATATGGTGTGGACTATCCCTTTGGTCATTTGGGGTCAGCTGTCCCAGCTGTGTCCCCTCCCAACTCCTTGTGCACCCCCAGCCTACTCGCTGGTGGGGTGGTGTGAGGAGCAGAAAAGGCCTTGACTCTGTGTAAGCACTGCTCAGCAGTAACGAAAACCTCCCTGTATTATCAACACTGTTTCCAGCACAAATCCAAAACACAGC